ACCCTTGCTGTAATTCACCTGCTGTGTTAGTCCAGTAAATATACCCTTGCTGTAATACACCTGGTGTGTTAGTCCAGTAAACATACCCTTGCTGTAATACACCTGGTGTGTTAGTCCAGTAAACATACCCTTGCTGTAATACACCTGGTGTGTTAGTCCAGTAATCTATCCTTGTTTTAACACACCTGGTCTGTTAGTCCAGTAATCTACCCTTGTTTTAACACACCTAGTGTGTTAGTCCATTAAACATCCCCTTTCTGTATGTTGTGTGCTAAATGAGTCAGCACACTACCAAGTGTCTTAGCAGGTACTCTTCCGCTTCCTCTCTTAGAAATAGAACTCGACGACGATGACACCGTCATACATGTTTATTTAACAGGATACATGACACAAATGCAGAGACGTTGTTATTGATCACAGCTGACATTCTTACATCGTTCATTTGTCCTCACTCGCTCTCTATCTCTCAATTAGTAGCGGTCTCTCCTTGACTACTACAGCTCCAAGGACTACAGCGTCCCACACACTGGTCGCGCCGTACAGCTGAACAGGCCGACTTCTCCCATTCACTGGACCTTGATATTAATTCAGCATACAACACGGCTGACTCGAGACGGCCTCCTCTTGCCGTACTCAGAAACCAGGCACTACTGGCCTTCCGTTCCCTGGACTCACTTTGCCAGCGGGAACATATCTTCTTCAGTACCGCAACCTCGACACTTACTCAGACCTAAATGCCTGATAGTCGTACGGTATTCTAGTCTGTTAGACTCGCGAGAGATATCCCGGACCCTGACTTGGTCTCTGACTCTCGATTCCTCTATATATCTTCTTCAGTACCGCAACCTCGACGCTTACTCAGACACCAATGCCTGATAGTCGTACGGTATTCTTGTCTGTTAGACTCGCGAGAGATATCCAGGACCCTGACTTGGTCTCTGACTCTCGCTTTCTCCCTCTCTCTCTCTCTTCTCGCTTCTCTCTCTCGGCTGCTTCTCGATTGCCCCCGAGGGGCTTTAGCCCTCAGGCTACAGCTCACTTCCCCCGGACCGTCTACGCAGGCCAATGTATCCCTGTCACATCCGTGTAGGTGGATGATGTATACACCAGAGGCACGCTTGTATGTGCGTTCTCGTGACTCATGGTCCCGTGGGTGTTCTCGGCACTCACGCTCACATGGGCGTTCTCGAGGATCACGCTTATGTGGGTGGCTGATGTTACCTGAGAATCACGCTGTCACTTACTTCACACTTTCTCTGTTTATCTCGTTAGCCATGCTTTAAGCCCCCCGCACTGTAACCCACGCGTCCACTTTCTCTCGTGCGTGCACGCCTTGTTCATGAATAGACATTTTCACTGGTCCCCTCTCAATACTCGGACCATGTTGACACTCTTCCCCCGTGAACTTACAGACAGTACTGACATACCACTGTCCCTTCACACACTATCACACTTTACCCAAATCAGCGCGCAACACTGTAATACACCTGGTGTGTTAGTCTAGTAAACATACCCTTGCTGTAATACACCTGGTGTGTTAGTCCAGTAACATACCCTTGCTGTAATACACCTGGTGTGTTAGTCCGGTAAACAAACCCTTGGTTTAATACACCTGGTGTGCTAGTCTAGTAAACATACCCTTGCTGTAATACACCTGGTGTGTTAGTCCAGTAAACATACACTTTCTGTAATACACCTGGTGTGTTTGTCCAGTAACATACCCTTGCTGTAATACACCTGGTGTGTTAGTCCAGTAAAATACACTTGGTTTAACACACCTAATGTGTTAGTCCAGTAACATGCCATTGTTTTAACACATCTGCTGTGTTAGTCTAGTAACCTACCTTTGCTGTAAACACCTGGTGTATTAGTCCACTAACAATACCCACAATTCCCTGACATACGTGTAATGTCTCTAAGATACCCTGTCTTTCCACATGCCCCATAATTGTCATTTGTCACGAGAAACTCACTAATTCATAATTGTTCCTTTCATAGAAGTAGTTTTTGTAATCGTCCATCCAGACTTCGGCCACCCGGTATGCATTGCGTGTGACAACTTCTAGGGGGATTTTGATCCCGTGTGGGTTTTTACTGCGGTATACATGACCCACCGTCGAACATGGATCCATCTGTAGCGATCCACCACACATCCAGGTCTGGAACACAGTATTCATAAAATCGGAATGAGCAGGAAACGATGGAAAATTAACCGAGTGCTAATGTCAATAACAAATAAAGCAGTTAATTGCATCCTGCATGTATTTATTTAACTCCAAGAAGTCTTTGTATCACAACTCGTTTTGCCGCCCCAGTGAATCTGTAGTAGCAGTCGCGGTCGTGGTGCTGGCGGAAGTGGCAACAGAAGTGGTGGTAGTGATAGTGGTAGCGAATGAAAAAACAACAGTTATAGCAGCTGTAGCAATGATTGACACAGAAGAAACAATACCAGTTATAGCAGCGGTAGCAATGATAGACACAGAAGAAACAACACCAGTTATAGCAGCAGTAGCAATGATAGACACATAGGAAACAACACCAGTTATAGCAGATGTAGCAATGTAAGACACATAAGAAACAACAGCAGTTATAGCAACAGTAGCAATGATAGACACAGAAGAAACACCAGCAGTTATAGCAGCAGTAGATATGATAGACACAGAAGAAACAACAGCAGTTATAGCAGCAGTAGATATGATAGACACAGAAGAAACAACACCAGTTATAGCAACAGTAGCAATGATAGACACAGAAGAAACACCAGCAGTTATAGCAGCAGTAGATATGATAGACACAGAAGAAACACCAGCAGTTATAGCAGCAGTAGATATGATAGACACAGAAGAAACAACACCAGTTATAGCAGCAGTAGATATGATAGACACAGAAGAAACAACAGCAGTTATAGCAGCAGTAGATATGATAGACACAGAAGAAACAACAGCAGTTATAGCAGCAGTAGATATGATAGACACAGAAGAAACAACACCAGTTATAGCAGCAGTAGATATGATAGACACAGAAGAAACAACAACAGTTATAGCAGCAGTAGATATGATAGACACAGAAGAAACAACAGCAGTTATAGCAGCAGTAGATATGATAGACACAGAAGAAACAACAGCAGTTATAGCAGCAGTAGATATGATAGACACAGAAGAAACAACAGCAGTTATAGCAGCAGTAGATATGATAGACACAGAAGAAACAACACCAGTTATAGCAACAGTAGCAATGATAGACACAGAAGAAACACCAGCAGTTATAGCAGCAGTAGATATGATAGACACAGAAGAAACAACAGCAGTTATAGCAGCAGTAGATATGATAGACACAGAAGAAACAACACCAGTTATAGCAGCAGTAGATATGATAGACACAGAAGAAACAACAGCAGTTATAGCAGCAGTAGATATGATAGACACAGAAGAAACAACACCAGTTATAGCAACAGTAGCAATGATAGACACAGAAGAAACACCAGCAGTTATAGCAGCAGTAGATATGATAGACACAGAAGAAACACCAGCAGTTATAGCAGCAGTAGATATGATAGACACAGAAGAAACAACACCAGTTATAGCAATGATAGACACATAAGAAACAACACCAGTTATAGCAACAGTAGCAATGATAGACACAGAAGAAACAACACCAGTTATAGCAGCAGTAGATATGATAGACACAGAAGAAACAACACCAGTTATAACAGCAGTAGCAATGATAGACACAGAAGAAACAACAGCAGTTATATCAGCAGTAGATATGATAGACACAGAAGAAACAACACCAGTTATAGCAGCAGTAGATATGATAGACACAGAAGAAACAACACCAGTTATAGCAACAGTAGCAATGATAGACACAGAAGAAACAACACCAGTTATAGCAGCAGTAGATATGATAGACACAGAAGAAACAACACCAGTTATAGCAGCAGTAGATATGATAGACACAGAAGAAACAACACAACTTATAGCAACAGTAGCAATGATAGATACAGAAGAAACAACAGTAGTTATAGAAACAGTAGCAATGATAGACACAGAAGAAACAACAACAGTTATAGATGCAGTAGCAATGATAGACACAGAAGAAACAACACAACTTATAGCAACAGTAGCAATGATAGACACAGAAGAAACAACAACAGTTATAGATGCAGTAGCAATGATAGACACAGAAGAATCAACACAACTTATAGCAACAGTAGCAATGATAGACACAGAAGAAACAACAACAGTTATAGATGCAGTAGCAATGATAGACACAGAAGAAACAACACAACTTATAGCAACAGTAGCAATGATAGACACAGAAGAAACAACAACAGTTATAGATGCAGTAGCAATGATAGACACAGAAGAAACAGCACAACTTATAGCAACAGTAGCAATGATAGACACAGAAGAAACAACAACAGTTAAAGATGCAGTAGCAATGATAGACACAAAAGAATAAATATTTTAGAGAGAACCAATGACAGCAGCATACAAACATGACCTTAAATGAGAGTTCCATATTTTCACCTCCCCAGAAGACCAGATCAGGATCGTATGTACCGAGTTGTTGGAAAAATTCCCGATGGATGGCAAACAGCCCACCTGGCATGGCTGGGGATCTGGCCAATTGAAAGAAAACAGCTTTGTTCGTTCAAAAAAAAAAAGCATACAGCTATAAAAATTCTAAATAGATAGCTATATATACAACCATTCTACATAGATAGAAATATATACAACCATTCTACATAGATAGAAATATATACAACCACTCTACATAGATAGCCATCTATACAAACACTCTTTAGAGATAGCTATATATACTACAACTCTACATAGAAAGCCATATTTACAACCACTCTACATAGATAGTTATATATACTACTACTCTACATAGATCGTTTTAAAAACAACTACTCTAAATAGAACGAACGAACGAACGAACTTTATTTTCAAAGTTTTACAAATTAGGCACGCAGGCCTGTCTTACATTCGGCCCTTCCAAACTCTCATCTTTCACACAGCAGTTGTATTTCATCAATAAAGCATGTTATGTTCATGTAATAATATGCATGCTATGAATATCAAGTCAAAAACAAAAGCATGGCTGGTAAAATATGTGCGCACGCTCGCGCGCGAACACACACCCACATACACGCGCAAACCCATTCACTCACACATACACACACAGAGACACCTAATACACACACACATGCACATACATACTAACACGCACACACACACACACACACACAGACACACACACACAGACACGCACACACACACACAGACACACAGACACACACACACACAGACACACAGACACACAGACACACAGACACACAGACATACAGACATACAGACATACATACATACATACATACATACATACATACATACATACATACATACATACATACATACATACATACATACATACATACATACATACATACATACATACATACATACATACATACATACATACATACATACATACATACATACATACATACATACATACATACATACATACATACATACATACATACATACATACATACATACATACATACATACATACATACATACATACATACATACATACATACATACATACATACATACATACATACATACATACATACATACATACATACATACATACATACATACATACATACATACATACATACATACATACATACATACATACATACATACATACATACATACATACATACATACATACATACATACATACATACATACATACATACATACATACATACATACATACATACATACATACATACATACATACATACATACATACATACATACATACATACATACATACATACATACATACATACATACATACATACATACATACATACATACATACATACATACATACATACATACATACATACATACATACATACATACATACATACATACATACATACATACATACATACATACATACATACATACATACATACATACATACATACATACATACATACATACATACATACATACATACATACATACATACATACATACATACATACATACATACATACATACATACATACATACATACATACATACATACATACATACATACATACATACATACATACATACATACATACATACATACATACATACATACATACATACATACATACATACATACATACATACATACATACATACATACATACATACCATACATACATACATACATACATACATACATACATACATACATACATACATACATACATACATACATACATACATACATACATACATACATACATACATACATACATACATACATACATACATACATACATACATACATACATACATACATACATACATACATACATACATACATACATACATACATACATACATACATACATACATACATACATACATACATACCTACATACATACATACATACATACATACATACATACATACATACATACATACATACATACATACATACATACATACATGCATGTATGCATGCATGCATACATACACACCTACATAGATACATTCATACACACTGTCACCAACACAGACATGCGCTCTAAAACACACACGCATACAACCCAGACACATATAGACACACACAGTTATACACACACACATACATACAGACACGTAGCCGCACAAAAAAACCCATACAAACATACACACATCAACGCACACAGACATAAACCCACACAGACACACACGCATGCAGTCACAGTCACACACACAAACACATACGCATGCAGGGAAACGCACAGATACACACAAAGGCATACAGTCACCCACGCACACATACGCACACAGACATACAGGCAGACGCATAAACCAAAACAAAAAGAGACACGCAGACATCGTGTAATGGATACACCGATAGAGACACACACAGATACACACAGTGCCACACACACAGTCACTCACAGCCACAGACAGACACAGATACACACAATGCCACACACACAGTCACTCACAGCCACAAACAGACACAGATACACACAATGCCACACACACAGTCACTCACAGCCACAGACAGACACAGATACACACAATGCCACACACACAGTCACTCACAGCCACAGACACACACAGATACACACAATGCCACACACACAGTCACTCACAGCCACAGACACACACAGATACACACAATGCCACACACACAGTCACTCACAGCCACAGACAGACACAGATACACACAATGCCACACACACAGTCACTCACAGCCACAGACACACACAGATACACACAATGCCACACACACAGTCACTCACAGCCACAGACACACACAGATACACACAATGCCACACACACAGTCACTCACAGCCACAGACAGACACAGATACACACAATGCCACACACACAGTCACTCACAGCCAGACACACACAGATACACACAATGCCACACACACAGTCACTCACAGCCACAGACACACACAGATACACACAATGCCACACACACAGTCACTCACAGCCACAGACACACACAGATACACACAATGCCACACACACAGTCACTCACAGCCACAGACAGACACAGATACACACAATGCCACACACACAGTCACTCACAGCCACAGACACACACAGATACACACAATGCCACACACACAGTCACTCACAGCCACAGACAGACACAGATACACACAATGCCACACACACAGTCACTCACAGCCACAGACAGACACAGATACACACAATGCCACACACACAGTCACTCACAGCCACAGACACACACAGATACACACAATGCCACACACACAGTCACTCACAGCCACAGACAGACACAGATACACACAATGCCACACACACAGTCACTCACAGCCACAGACAGACACAGATACACACAATGCCACACACACAGTCACTCACAGCCACAGACAGACACAGATACACACAATGCCACACACACAGTCACTCACAGCCACAGACAGACACAGATACACACAATGCCACACACACAGTCACTCACAGCCACAGACAGACACAGATACACACAATGCCACACACACAGTCACTCACAGCCACAGACACACACAGATACACACACAATGCCACACACACAGTCACTCACAGCCACAGACACACACAGATACACACAATGCCACACACACAGTCACTCACAGCCACAGACACACACAGATACACACAATGCCACACACACAGTCACTCACAGCCACAGACAGACACAGATACACACAATGCCACACACACAGTCACTCACAGCCACAGACAGACACAGATACACACAATGCCACACACACAGTCACTCACAGCCACAGACAGACACAGATACACACAATGCCACACACACAGTCACTCACAGCCACAGACAGACACAGACACACACAGATACACACAAAGACACATAATGGCACACACACACATACCTACAAATACACTCACAGATGCACACAACTCTCACACAGACACACACGTGCAGGCGCACACACATTCTCAAAAAGACACACACACAAATACATTCAAAGCCACACACACACACACACAGGCGCAGACATTATATAATAGACACACCCAAAGAGACTCACACAGGCACACACAAAACCACACACAGACAGACACAGATACACATGCAGCCACACATACAGACACACATACAGACACACATACAGACACATAATGGCACACACACACACACTGACACACAGAGACATACACACACATACTAACACACCCATCAACGCACAGCTACCCGCACAGACACACAGATAGCCAAGTGGACAACCACTCTACACAGATAACCATATATACAACCATTCTACACAGATAACCGTATATACAACTACTCTACAGAGATAACCATATATACAACCACTCTACAGAGATAACCATATATACAACCACTCTACAGAGATAACCATATATACAACTACTCTACAGAGATAACCATATATACTACTACTCTACATAGAAAGCAATATATACAACTACTCTACGGAGATAACCATATATACAACTACTCTACAGAGATAACCATATATACAACCACTCTACGGAGATAACCATATATACAACTACTCTACAGAGATAACCATATATACTACTACTCTACATAGAAAGCAATATATACAACTACTCTACGGAGATAGCCATGTATACTACAACTCTACATACATAGCCATATAAACAACCACTCTACATAGATAGCCATATAAACAACCACTCTACATAGATAGCCATATAAACAACCACTCTACATAGATAGCCATATATACAACCACTCTACACAGATAGCCAAAAATACATCCACTCTACATAGATAGCCATATAAACAACCACTCTACATAGATAGCCATATAAACAACCACTCTACATAGATAGCCATATAAACAACCACTCTACATAGATAGCCATATAAACAACCACTCTACACAGATAGCCATATAAACAACCACTCTACACAGATAGCCATATATACAACCATTCTACATAGATAACCATATATACAACCACTCTACATAGATAACCATATATACAACCACTCTACATAGATAGCTATATATACAACCACTCTAAATAGATAGCTATATATACAATCACTCTACATAGACAGATATATAAACAATCCCTCTACATAGACATATATATATATTTACAACCACTTTACATAGACAGCCACATACACTGCTTTTCTACATAGATAGCCATACATAAAACCACTCTTTGGGTCACATAAAGCATCAAAATTTTAATACACCAAATTCAACTAGAACAGTGGTTCTCAAACTGGGTACTAAATTTCCCATAAACATAAAGGAAATAACGAAAAATTCATCTTAACAGTTTCATTCATCGCATTAAAGAAAACCTTTAAATTTAAATGTGCACCGTTCTCTCCCCCCCCCCCCCCCCCCCCCCCCGCCAATATTCAAGCCGCTTTAAGGGTAGGTGTGCCGCCCTAAATTGTGTCCGTCAAGGGTGCTGGGGCAAAAAAATATTTGAGAAACGCTGAATTAGACCGTCCTGGCGCTGCGACGAATGAACACATTGTTAAGAGCCACTACCACACACGTCCACAGGTTCATGTGTATCTTGTCATATCTGACTGACCCAGTGGTGACAAGCTGGAGGTCCTGGGTTCAAACCCTAGTGAAGGCTGAGAATTTTTCACGCGGACTTCTAGTAATTTTTCCTCGTCTCTAGGTAGTTAGATCGGACGCCCGTGTGTATTTTTTGCGCAGGTAAAAATATCTTGGCAGTAGGAAATCGAAAAAGAGTAGCCTAATGGCGCTGTCCGGACCAAATTTGGAGTTAAAATCGACCCATCGTATTTTAGGATCCTCAGCAGTGCGATGGAGATTGTGCACTGCGCTGTCATTCTTCAGACTCAGGCTTTAGTTGGAAGTAGAACGGGGTACTTATGGGTTACACCCGTGTGCCGGGGTACTTATGGGTTACACCTGTGTGCCGGGGTACTTATGGGTTACACCTGTGTGCCGTGGCACTTATGGGTTACACCCGTGTGCCGGGGCACTTATGGGTTACACCCGTGTGCCAGGGTACTTATGGGTTACACCCGTGTGCCGGGGTACTATGGGTTACACCTGTGTGCCGGGGCACTTATGGGTTACACCCGTGTGCCGGGGTACTTATGGGTTACACCCGTGTGCCGGGGCACTTATGGGTTACACCCGTGTGCCGGGGTACTTATGGGTTACACCCGTGTGCCGGGGTACTTATGGGTTACACCCGTGTGCCAGGGTACTTATGGGTTACACCCGTGTGCCGGGGCACTTATGGGTTACACCCGTGTGCCAGGGTACTTATGGGTTACACCTGTGTGCCGGGGTACTTATGGGTTACACCCGTGTGCCGGGGCACTTATGGGTTACACCCGTGTGCCGGGGTACTTATGGGTTACACCTGTGTGCCGGGGTACTTATGGGTTACACCCGTGTGCCGGGGCACTTATGGGTTACACCTGTGTGCCGGGGTACTTATGGGTTACACCCGTGTGCCGGGGCACTTATGGGTTACACCTGTGTGCCGGGGTACTTATGGGTTACACCTGTGTGCCGGGGTACTTATGGGTTACACCCGTGTGCCAGGGTACTTATGGGTTACACCCGTGTGCCGGGGTACTTATGGGTTACACCCGTGTGCCGGGGTAATTATGGGTTACACCTGTGTGCCGGGGTACTTATGGGTTACACCCGTGTGCCAGGGTACTTATGGGTTACACCCGTGTGCCGGGGTACTTATGGGTTACACCCGTGTGCCGGGGTAATTATGGGTTACACCCGTGTGCCGGGGCACTTATGGGTTACACCCGTGTGCCGGGGTACTTATGAGTTACACCCGTGTGCCGGGGCACTTATGGGTTATACCCGTGTGCCGGGGTACTTATGGGTTACACCCGTGTGCCAGGCCACTTATGGGTTATACCCGTGTGCCGGGGTACTTATGGGTTACACCCGTGTGCCGGGGCACTTATGGGTTACACCCGTGTGCCGGGGTACTTATGGGTTACACCCGTGTGCCGGGGCACTTATGGGTTATACCCGTGTGCCGGGGCACTTATGGGTTATACCCGTGTGCCAGGCCACTTATGGTTTACATCTGTTTGCCATGATGCTGATAGGTTGAAAAAACATAAACATTCACTGACCAAGCGCCAAAACGACTGAATCAAACTGTTACGAGATTTGTGCCTAGCCGTTCACCTGGCCATACTCGTGGGGGCCAAGCTACCTTTAACCTCAAATTACACCTGTCTGACAATGTCCAGTGATCTGAGAATTTTGCAGCCGCCTCTGTAAGTTTACACGTAAATACACATGTCCATTCGCACTGTCTTCGACTCCTGGCTTACTTGCAAACATAAATTAGTTCAGGACACAACACTACTATATTAAGGAGAGATCATTAACGCTACCACTCTACAAGGGAAATATTTCGTCACTGACTGGATGCTGTCCGACTCATCACGTCGCAGGGCTAAAACTCTGGCTGGAATTTTTTCCCACTCCATCCGCAGATCTTTCCATCTGAAGTTGCAGTGTTCAAACACAGATGCAAGGCACTTAAGTTCAAACGTGTCTGTCTCAATGGCGGGAATTAGCGGATACAGCACAGTCTTCTGGTTCCTGGAAATGCGAACCAACATGGGTTCTGCCCAGCCTGAAACATAGTATAACAGAGGACGTATCCTAGCTGAAAGCCGCAGTTATGATGCCTGAACAATGTCTTTATTTATTTTTATATTCCTCAATTGTAAAGTATGACTCATGTTTAGTCTTTCTTCGTCCGTACAGAACTAGGAAATCAAGAAAGAAGCATGCAAATAAACCCAAGAGCAAAGGAAGAAAGAAAGAAATAGAGAAAGAAAGAAAGTTAGAAAAAAAGAAAAGAAATAAAAAAGAAGGAATGAAAGAAAAGAAAGAAAGAATGAAAGAAAAAAAAGAATAAAAGGAAAGAAAGAAAAAAGGAAAGAAAGAAAGAAAAAAAGAAAGATAGCAAGAAAGAAAGAAAGAAAGAAAGAAAGATTGAAAGAAAGAATGAAAGAAAAGAATGATAGAAAGAAGAAAGAAAGAAAGAGAGAAAGAAAGACAGAAAAGAAGGAAAGAAAAAAATGAAAAGAAAGAAAGAAAGAAAAATGAAAGAAAGCAAGAGTGGAAAGAAAGAATGAAAAAAAAGAAAGAAAGAAAGAAAGAAGATAATGACAATAATGGTGATTATGATTTACTTTTGGAAAAGTTATGGGTAAAAAATAACTTAAACACAACTACCATAACACAAGAGAACGCCAAATATCACAGGAGAAAAAAAGTAACCACTCACTTTAAAACACGCAGAAATACTATTCTGTCTTTTTTTTTTCCCTTTCTATGGGTGTCAATCAATACATGTTTGTTAGCTTATCTTAGTCTGCAACACATTCACGCAAATGCATCCGGGTTTTTGTTTTATTTCTGTCCTTCCCAGCTATGAATATTCTTCCGTTCTCTTGGTTCATCATTGCTTCATCACGGAGATGAATGGCGCCTTTGCTGTTACAACTAGTAGCCTTACAATGGAAACTATGGCTGTAACAAGGGCTTCAGCATGGCTTGGTACTCAAAAGTTCACACACATATGCTTTCTTAGTGACTCGATGAATATGCTTAAAAAAAATACAAGCTGGATTAATCAGGCAAGAATGGATTGAAACACTAAGCACTTCACGAATATCTGCCCCAACCTTTATCTTTGTGCCAGGTCATGCGGGTGTTCAAGGGAAAGAGCGTGCAGGCTATCTTGCTGACACTGCAGTTGCTATGGCTGGCCCAATAATGGACAGAAGTGATGTTATCAACGCCATGCGCTGCATTTACCATACCGAGGAGCACGCCAAAGGACATGACTCCATATCCCTGTCTAGACTGATGGACATGGAGGTGCAGCCTGGAGGTTCAATCCCTGTCTAGACTGATGGACATGGGGGTGCAGCCTGGAGGTTCAATCCCTGTCTAGACTGATGGACATGGAGGTGCAGCCTGGAGGTTCAATCCCTGTCTAGACTGATGGACATGGAGGTGCAGCCTGGAGGTTCAATCCCTGTCTAGACTGATGGACATGGGGGTGCAGCCTGGAGCTGCAAGAAATAAACATTTCACTAAAGGGACAAGACGTTTCATTAACCAACATAGAACAGGTGTCATCAGTCGTTTTACACTTGTGGAGCTTTTGAGAAGGAGATCGGAGCACCTATGGATCTGTCCTGAGTGCTGTGATGATAATCCTTTCTAATATCTTATCACTAATCATTGCTTGTGAGATTATCTCCTCTGTTCTGTGCAGGTCCAGTATGTTACATGTATACTGTGTTGATTTTTCTCCTCCCATAGGGTCTCGATAGCAACTGGTGCACCCACCTACACTCATAAATAAACTCACCTGGAAAGCACTCAATGTGCGAGTCGAGAAACACAACAACCGGTGCCACCGAGGCTTCAAACCCAACCAGTCTGGCTTTGATCAGACCAAGTCTTTTCGGGGAGTGAATATTTTGCACAACTGGAAATGAACTGAAGTATTTATCCAAGGGCGTCTTAAGGAACTCTGTAAAGTATGTCGTATCAGAAATAATTCAAATTTTGGTCAAACAAACGTTAGTCTCCCTACACAAAGTAAGTAGGTCAAGTTCAATTAATAACCTTGTTGGACTGCTCTACGATGCTGGTGGTTACGGGTGTGCCGTTCTGTTGTTTGCTATCTGTGTTGTCTTGCATTTGAGTTTTTGTTCTGAGATAGAGAATGCCTGTGACATAGATTTCATCACTCTCTACGGGTTTTTTGTGTTAGACCCAGTTTGTAGATGTTTTTGGAGTGTTGAAAGCGCTGGCATGGTGAAATATACAACATGTGACAATAACGGCATTGCGGAACACCTCCGTGATCAGTGCCACGACGCGTGGCTCAAAGCCGACCAGTCATAAATAAGCTAGGCTGAAGGTCGACCAATTAGATGTGAGCTAGTGTGTATAAGAGCGGTCGGTGGGGAGACCAACGTTACTATTACCCACATTTTAATATAATGTGAAATAAAGCACCCCTTTGAAGCCAGTGTTGCAGCCCGGTATATGTATATATTCAAGATGCACATGTTTAGACCAGGACATTACATGGTAGACATTTAGCCTGAGTCGACCTGGGAGACAGAAAAACGTTGTTTCTGGAGAGAGCCAAATCCGACCTAGTGCGGCTTCAAATCCAGTACCTTCAGATCAGCAGGTTAGTGTTTAACACTAAGCCCCCACGGCTCCCTGTCTAAAAGCTACATCACACGGCTCCTCGTCTAACCGCTACATCACAGTGCTTTCCCGTCTAACCGATACATCACCACAGCTTCCTGTCTAACCGCTACATCACAGTGGCTTCCCGTCTAACCGCTACATCACAGTGGCTTCCCGTCTAACCGCTACATCACAGTGGCTCCCCGTCTAACCGCTACATTTTCACGGCTTCCCGTCTAACCGATACATCACAGTGGCTTTCCGTCTAACCGCTACATCACCACGGCTTCCCGTTTAACAGCTACATCACCACGGCTTCCCGTTTAACCGCTACAGCACCACGGCTTCCCGTTTAACCGCTACATCACCACGGCTTCCCGTTTAACCGCTACAGCACTACGGCTTCCCGTTTAATCGCTACATCACCACGGCTTCCCGTTTAACCGCTACAGCACCACGGCTTCCCGTTTAACCGCTACATCACCACGGCTTCCCGTTTAACCGCTACAGCACCACGGCTACTCCCCTTAACACTACATCACAGCGGTTCCCCGTCTAACCGCTACATCACCACGGCTACTCGCCTCAACGCTACATCAAAGAGGTTCCCCGTCTAACCGCTACATCACCACGGCTACTCGCCTCAACGCTACATCAAAGAGGTTCCCCGTCTAACCGCTACATCACCACGGCTACTCGCCTCAACGCTACATCAAAGAGGTTCCCCGTTTAACCGCTACATCACCACGGCTACTTGAATCAACGCTACATCAAAGAGGTTCCCCGTTTAACCGCTACATCACCACGGCTACTCGCCTCAACGCTACATCAAAGAGGTTCCCCGTTTAACCGCTACATCACCACGGCTACTCGCCTCAACGCTACATCAAAGAGGTTCCCCGTTTAACCGCTACATCACCACGGCTACACGCCTCAACGCTACATCAAAGAGGTTCCCCGTTTAACCGCTACATCACCACGGCTACTCGCCTCAACGCTACATCAAAGAGGTTCCCCGTTTAACCGCTACATCACCACGGCTACTCGCCTCAACGCTACATCAAAGAGGTTCCCCGTTTAACCGCTACATCACCACGGCTACTCGCCTCAACGCTACATCAAAGAGGTTCCCCGTTTAACCGCTACATCACCACGGCTACTCGAATCAACGCTACATCACCACGGCTACTCGAATCAACGCTACATCACCACGGCTACTCGAATCAACGCTACATCACCACGGCTACTCGAATCAACGCTACATCCCCACGGCTACTCGAATCAACGCTACATCACCACGGCTACTCGTCTAAACGCTACATCCCCACTGCTACTCGTCTAAACGCTACATCAGCACGGCTACTTGTCTAAACGCTACATCACCAGGGATACTCATCTAAACGCTACATCCCCACGGCTACTCGTCTTAACGCTACACCACCAGGGCTTCTCGTCTAAACGCTACATCCCCACGGCTACTCGTCTTAGAGCTACATCACCACGGCTACTCGTTTAAACGCTACATCACCACGGCTACTCGTCTAAACGCTACATCCCCACGGCTACTCCCCTTAACGCTACATCACCACGGCTACTCCCCTTAACACTACATCACAGCGGTTCCCCGTCTAACCGCTACAGCACCACGGCTTCCCGTTTAACCGCTACAGCACCACGGCTTCCCGTTTAACCGCTACATCACCACGGCTTCCCGTTTAACCGCTACAGCACCACGGCTACTCCCCTTAACACTACATCACAGCGGTTCCCCGTCTAACCGCTACATCACCACGGCTACTCGCCTCAACGCTACATCAAAGAGATTCCCCGTCTAACCGCTACATCACCACGGCTACTCGATTCAACGCTACA